GCCCCTGATACAGCAGGCCCTGTGCTAAATGCCGGGCTACACTGGTGAGCAGGTCAGAGAGCCTGCTCTCAAGAGCTCACAGTCTTTGCGTCCAGGCACTGGTCATGACAAGAAATAGGAATGCTTCTTTAGACTATGCTTATTTGCAAACCACCACCCACCTGATTCTAACTTATAAAGCAATTTACCAAGTTGTAATCTACATCTGCTGGGGCATATTAGCTCTATAAGGACTTCGTCAGGGAACTACCTGTATCATGATCTGCATGGCATGGGTATATTAGTGTGTTGTTTGGGACCTACTGTGGGACAGAGCACATGTCCTTGGTCACCTGGGGCATTAGGCAGTGTCTGAGTGGAGGATAGGCCTGGTGATGACAGGACTACCTGAACCAGCATGGAGGTTGCAACTTACCTGGTGCTTTTGGAGCTCCTGGACATATCTGGTCATTTCCTCCTCTGCCTGGGTCTGGGCCCCCTTCTGATTCTTTCCTATAAGAAAAATCAAGGCTCAGAGCAGTGGTGGCTGGGGGAAGCCAGTTAGAGATCCCTCCAGCACCTACTGTTTAGACTCTCAATTTCATCTCCTATTTAACTTATGGAAGGAGAAATGAAATACCCACATTTTTCTGAATATAAAGTGTCCCAGGGCAATGGACACCTCCAAAGTAACATGCTTGGGTAGTAAGTGACTGGGCCAGGACTCAAATCTAGGCCAAGTGGGGAGGGTGCAAGCTAGAGTTCTAGAAACCTTTTCTGAAAGATCTCTTGGTAAAACAGTGCTAGTGGTGATGCTGGCTTGGGCACTGTCCCCCCCTCCCCAGATGTCTGATGTCTCCTAACCCGCCCTGCCCATGTCTCAACTATCTCAACTTTCTCTATTTTGGCTTACCAAAATTCTGTTAAATTGGGCTTACCCAATTCTGTTAATTCAAACATGTTTATGAACATGTCACCTTTTCCTGCTGGGCATGGATGGCAAAAAGTCATTCTGCCTTCCAATCACCTAAGTCTTTGACATAGAGGATTTCCTAAGCTGTCATAAGGATTAAGTGGGTTAATATGTAACGTGCTTAGAAGAAATGCATGCATGTGTGTGTGTGTGTGTGCTCAGTTGCGTCCCACTCTTTGTGACCGCAAGGACTGTAGCCTACGAGGCTCCTCTGTCCATGGCATTTCCCATGCAAGAAAACCGGAGTGGGTTGCCATTTCCTACTCCAAGAAATGCGTGTAATTCTCACTAAAATGTGTTTGCTTTCCTTACTACTTTTACCACTCTTATCTCTTGCCAACACTTGATCTTGCCCTGGGTCTTGAATCTTTCTTATTCCCAATCTCTGGAGTGACTTTCTAACATAGTGCATCTAGCATAAGTGCTGTGCCCTCAAGGCTGCTCTCTGGGAACCCTGACGTTCCAAGTGTGAGCCGGTCTCTTGCCCTATCGTTTCTTTTCTCCCAGCCAATGCACTCTTCTCCATCATCCCCACCCTGACTTCTCTCATGGTGATTCATGAAGACAGTGCTCTCCCTGCCGTCCCTTCTTTCTCACCGTCACAGGTCATGGCTGTGCAGACCCAGTTTCCACAGGCACACACACAGCGGTTACAGTCCACCTCAGTCTCGGCTCCATCAGCATATGTTTCATCCTCCAGGGCACACTCTGCGAGACCAGAAATAAGGGGCAAAGGTTTAGGGTAAGGGTGGAACAGGACGTCCTGGCTACCGTCTGTGCACCTCACCACCTTCCAGACAAGACCTGCTTGTCCCTCAGAGGCACCATAACTGAACAAATGCCTCTATCAAGCCAAAGATTTTCGGACTTGAACCTCAGCATGGAGATGATGCTGGGGCCCAGTCTAGAATCATGGAAGGGAATTTTCTTAGTAAGCTCTGGAGAGTTCCACAGCCCCCTCCAAATGCCCCCAACTCCCTACAACCCGCTATTTCTTAGATTAGGCATACTCTTCTCTGGAGGGTTGAAGGATGGGTTGAGGCACTTGAGGAACTCTTGGAAGCTGAGTTTCCAGTCAGCATTTTCATCAGACAGTTCAATGAGAGCATCAACACAGAGTCCTCTATAAAGAAAACACAGGAGAAATGTGTCGGCAAGACCTCAGCTTCCCTCCTGAAGGAATTAAGCATTAGGATTACATATACCTAGGCCTCTGAAGGTGGCCAAAGAAACTATTTAAAGAGAAAGTTTCTACACTGACCTACAACCATCATGCATCCTGGACTCCAGTAAGCATCCAACCTTTAGTTTATTATATGGGATGTCAGATCATTCAAGTTCAAATGATATTCCCAAGATGACTGAAGTTTCCTGGATGGTTTTGTCCACTTGGATTGACAAATGTTTCACCATCTGCATATACCTTCCACTAGCAAGTGCCTCCCCCGCCCTAGGTGTAATGTATCAAGTCAACCCAACTGGAAAAATCAAATAGAAGTGGTAGGAACAGATGATATGAAAACAATGTGTGATTTGAAAGAATGAGTTTGAAACCAGCAGCACCACTATCATCCTTTTATTATACAAAGAGATCGTTTAGAAAAGTTTTGTAGAATTCCAGCTCCCTCCCTCTCCCCTTGGCCGGGGTTTGAGCCCTCGCTCAATCACTTACAACCCAAATGGCCTTGACCTAGTTATCCAACCTTCCTGCACCTGTTTTCTCATCTGTGAAATGGGGACAAGCATCCCTCCTTCACTGCAGTGTTGTAAGGATCAAATGTTGAATTTGTAAAATATTATCTTATTTCAGGTCATCAAAATAAGGATTCACAGATATTATACTTCAAGGCCACAAAAAGTAAAAGTTTAAAGCTCAGTCATGTCCAACTCTTTGTGACCCCATGGATTGTAGCCCGCCAATCTCCGCCACCCATGGGATTTTCCAGGCAAGAATACTGGAATGGGTTGCCATTTCCTTCTCCAGGGGATCTTTCTGACCCAGGGATCAAACCCAGGTCCCACACTGCAGGAAGACTCTTTACCATCTGAACCACCAGGGGAGCCTTAAGGCCATGGGTTATCATTAAAAAAGAACCCTAGAGTCTGGGTTTCATGCTTTGCATTCTTCTGAACAAACAGGTGCTTTCCTTTTTTTCCTCAGTTGTGTCTGACTCTTTCCGACCCCATGGACTATACAAACCATGGAATTCTCCAGGCCAGAATACTGGAGTGGGGAGGCCATTTCCTTCTCCAGAGGAATCTTCCCAACCCAGGGATTGAACCCAGGTCTCCTACATAGCAGGCGGATTCTTTACCAGCTGAGCCACCAGGGAAGCCCTTCCTATTTTTAATTCTTACCAATACACTGGAACCACAGTTAATTTAGGGATTGATTTTTATTAATTCCTAAGGGTTAATTTTTATTAATATTTACTTAGGGGTTAATTTTTATTAATATTTACTCTGGAATAATACCAGAAAAGGAGAGGAACGTGCTCCCATTTGTAATAATTAGGGTTCTCTACATGAAATAGCACTTATTATCTTAAAATCAGAACTAAAGCTATTTTAGACTTATCATTAAATAGAACACTGAAGTAATTCCTTAAGAAAATGAATCATTAAAACATCACCCACAATACTAAGAGACAACTTTGCTCTGATGTGATCATTAATTTTAAAACTACTTTCTTCTATTTCTTGCAAGTTCTGGCCAAAAACACTAACTACTTGATCAGATATCAGTGGTGCTCAATATATTAGTTCATAATGTTCACGGAAGAGATCAGGACAGAACCCTATTTTGCTTTTTACTTCACATTGACTTTGACACTGGAGGTTCCTTGGCAGGTAGGAAAGGGGTTTAAATCCCTTCTTCTACAGCCTCCCCTTGTGGGCCTCTCCCTGACACCCTCATTCCACTCACCTGAGAAGCTTGTTGTTCTCCTGGTCTGCATAGGTGGTGATGTTGATGGCAGTTTCGTTTTGCTCCACAAATTTCAGAAATTCGCTGGAGTCCAAGCGAGAGTCACCATTATCAAAGTTCTAGAAAGGAGATGGAGAGATCTTTCTGGAACGTTTTGTAAAACCCCAATTCTATCATCCCTCCACTCAGTTTGGCCCGTCTCTGGTTCATCTTGTGCTTAACACAGTCCAAACCTGCTCTGCTCTTTGAGCAACAAAGCCTCGAAGCCCTGGGGCACCCAGAGAAGGCACCTGTGCCCCAAGACGAGGGACAAAGTGTCTGGGCAAAGGCTACTGAGGGCCTTTCAAATCCCAGACCCTGCTAAGGAGGGCAGCCTGAACCCAGGCCTGTGCTGTCAAGGAGCCTGGGGGTGCTTTGGCGGTCTCTGGAGCCCCATCCCTGGCACTATCCTCCAGACATTGTCGAATTCACTCCATCATACCATGGTCTCAAACCCTAACGATCATGGAACAACAGACTTGTGAATCAGTATCAGTGTCAGAGCCCAGGATGCATATTTCTAACAAGTTGCTTGTGAACAGTGATGTAGGTGAACCTCAGAGCTCACTCTGGGAACCACAGGATCATTTCCTCCTGCTTGATTTCCAGCCTTCCTGGCCAGCTCTCAGCACTTACCTCTCACACTGGTACCCTTAGCCGACCTCATCAAAGGCAAAGGCCCCTGTACGTTATCCACATCAACAACCTGCCTTGTGGAGGTGGTGCAAATTCCCCCAAACTGCCGCCCTGTGCTGTGGGCCCCACTGTAGACAGTGCAGCCTGTCCTTGGGATCCATCTCATGTTCCATGAGCATAAGGCAAGGGTAGAGTGAGCTCAACATTATACTCTCTTTGGCAAGATGCTCAGCTGAGACCGTAGCCATCTGGGACCATTCAGGATGCCCAGGAACTTGCTGCAGGTGGAGGCCAGCAACTTCAAGGCTCTGATCAAATTCTAATTTGGATACTGCTGCTCTCCAAAATATTTCTAGTGGAAAAAAAATATGTTTTTCAAAATACTTTCTCTAGGCTGCCTCATTCTGCTACCCTGGGAAATAATCAGCAACCCATGTTACTTTCAAGGTGGCTCTTCAGATGCTGGAAGAGTTTCTGGAAGAAAAGTCTGCATAGGTTTCCAGGTAGAAGAGAAAGATACAGCTACTGACTCTGATGCATGACTATCACACATCATGTGTATTCTACTCTAAGATTGTAAATCTTCTAGTGGTATGTATGACAGGTATGTATAAAACAACTCTGGGGGCCCTTGCTTAATACCTATTTATTATTCTTGTCCTAATTCCTAGGAAAAGATCTCAGATGCTTTCTCGTCACTATACTTTTACCCTGGCTCCAGTCTCAGTCCCGGTCACCAGGAATTCAGGGTGTCTGTATGTGTGTGTGAGAGACAGAGACACACGGTTATAAAAGGCTTTGTGGCTCTGTGTATGTGTGTGACATGGTCATAAAAGCTCTTTCTACCTGAGGCCTTCCCCTCTTCACTCTGCTGGGCTTTTGTCTAAAAAATAATGACTGAATCACCAGTTCAGATGAGAGTCTGATTTTGGTCTTATCCAAATTCTGATTAGATTTGTTTTGCAACTAATTTTGATGTAAGGAATATCAGTTGGGCTGGAGGGCTATTCACTGGTTCAGAAACCAGTGATCTGTATCTGTGAGATACAGATCACTTAGCAACAGGCAGCTGTTTGCCTAGTGGGGAGAAGCCTCCCTTTGAAGATTGCACCATATGGTTCTTTGATGATCATCGAGAAGTAGATTGTGAAACCCTATTTTCTCAGAGGACACTAGGAAGAGCGAGCACTGTGTTTGTCAGTTATGAGCAAGCTTTCTTGGTTAGGATGAGAATGCTCTAGAGAAAAGGTACTTTCTCCAGGGGCCTTGCGGTTTTAGACAGGCACCTATGAGAGAAAGTTACTGCCAGAGAGGGTGGAGATGTGTGAGGCCCTGGTCCTTAGGAATCAAATTAATAGCAGCTGCCAGTGAAGCCCAAGGCATGTTCCATCAAAGGGCCACCATGAATGGTTCCAAGGTCCCAAGAAGCCTCCTGGAAAGTGTCCTGGGCCCCACGGCTCCCATGCTGTAACGACCAAGCCAGTCAGTGCTCACAACAGACCCAGCAGGTGCTGTTCACTTGGCTTTCAAAAAATAATTTTTTTTAGTTTAGTTTCTCCTTCTGTCCAAATCTCCTGGCTCAGCAATACGTGTTTTTCTGTAGACAAGTAACTACCTCTGCCCCCAGAGCTCCCTAATATGGGAATGATTGAGACAGAAGACAGAGTGAGAAGGCTGTGCTTTCTCTTCTCAAATACTTGGAATCCAGAGAGACTGACTTTCTGCCACAGTGAGAAACTTCTACCTAAAGGAAGTCCTAAATGACCAATATCCTATTTCAGTCCAACACAGCATTTCTCCACCTCTGGGGAGTCCATGATGTCAGTTAACAAGAGGAATCCACAGACGAGGCTGGTGTTGACCACACTTAGTGGCCACAGAGCTGCCTGAAGTCCCTCATGTGTGGGGGCTGCTTCTGAGTCTGAGCTGGTCGAGCCTAGGACACACCATGGAGGTATGTGAGGGCATCTGAGGATGAGCCTCAGAGGGCCTCTACCCAGAGATGTGACTGTCTGTAAGTGATGGGGGCTTCTGTGGCTATGCGGGAATGCAGGCGCCTGAACGTGTGTGTCTGTGTGTAGGACAGTCTCCGTGTGGCATGCACACCTCCGCATGTGGTGTGTGTGTTTCTGTATGTGGTGTTTATCTGAGTGTGATGTACATATGTGTGTATGTTCTTATCAATCAGCTGGAAGAGTGCCCTTAACTGCTTCTTTTAGCAATTGTCTCAAGCTCTCTGAAAGATCTCCATGGCATGGCCGCCCTACTCATTGATAAATACTGTTTCCTCCCTCATTTTCCTTTTGGAAAACAGTATCTCTCCTCCCCACAAGTGGAACAATCTGTTGCTTCAACCAAACACGATGGGAACATCAGTATCTAGGTTCATGAAGAATCCTGGACCCATGAAATACCAGTCCATTGACTCTCCTCAGATGAAGAGAAACTCTGTAAGCCATAGAGGGTCAAGTTAAAGACTTAGAGAAAAGCCAAATTGGGTGGGAAACAGGCTGAAGTGGCCTGGGTCTGGGGATAGGCAGCCAGCTCTATGTGCTGGGTTACCTTAAAGTACTTGTCTAGGATTTCACTGTAGTTGCTGCCTTTGGAGAACCAGCCGTCTGGAATGATCTCCGCTTCTAGCCACTGGATGATGCGACGCCGGAGTTCATCACGGTTGGACTGATAACAAACGACTGCAGGAAAAGGAGTCGGCTGAGCAGTGAGGGCCCCAATGTCATCCAGCATCCCCCTACTGGTGGGCTCAGTGCCTGGGGATCTGCATGTGTCATCTCATTGGGTTTTCACAGCAACCCAGGGAAACAGGATTATTACACACACTTACAAAGGAGTAAACCCAGGGTACTGGATTGTATCTAACCCAGGATTCAAGCTCATGTCTAAAAACTTAAGAAAGTTTGAGATGGTTGAAACAGAGATTATGCTTAGGTGAGAAAAAAGTAGAAAGAAAAAAATATTTTCATTAACTTTAGGAAGCTGAGAGGGGAAAAAAGATCAATCAATCAATAGAACAACTCTTTTGGTTCACAGATGAGGTGAATTAATAATGAATAAGTGAGAACATTACAATTCTTTACGCAACTGGATTTTTTATTCTTTCTATATAGCTTTTCCCTCTCTCCCACTTAAAAACTTCTCCCATTTAAAATTTTATCCGATATTACAAACAACAGAAAATGAGGTTGGGGAAGGGCATGTTGAAGCCCTGCTCTGGACAGCTGTTTGTTGTAAGCCACATGGCAACAACAGGTGAGGCTGAAAGTCTAGTGGACCGGGAGGCAGAGAAGGGAAAGCTTTGGCAAAAGTAAATTCCCAACACATGTTGGGATGTAAAAAGGGCACTGAGCCAGGGAAATAAAACTGTGGGCACTTTTCCCCACTCTGGCACTTGCTGGCTGTGTGACTCAGGGAAATTCACTTAACCTCTCTGAGTCTCAATTTCCTCATCTATAAGGTAATTATAGTAACTACTTCACAAGGTTATGTGAGGATCTAAGGAAAAGTATATGCTAAAGGAGTCTGTAACTATAAATAGATGAAATTTTAAATCTGTATTCATTGAAAACCATGGAAGAAGATCTGCCATTTCCAATTGTCCTCTTTCCAAAAAAGTTTTGCCTTCTGATTCTGCCTGTCCCGTGACACCCATAGGTCTCACAGAGCATTGAAGGAGGGACTCAGTAGCTTTTCCATCCTGCAGTTCAATCATTACTCAGCAAAAATGAAAAACACAGCCAACACTCTGATCCAATCAACTGCTTTCCACGGCAAGTACCAAAAAATGCAGTATTGCAGCTTTTCTGAGCTATGTTGAGGAGCGACCAGTTCTGGGTCACAAGCTCTGACACATTAAAGATCTTGTGAGCCTTGTGGGGAGGGATTGTGGAACATGGAATTTCCATCATGAAAAAAATTTACTCCCTAAATGCACACTGTAGAAAAAAAGAGGTACTCACCTGGGCTGGCAGAAGGACTTACAGATTTCTTCTCTGTAAGACAAAAGGAGAAAATGCAGAAAGTAAAGTGAAGAAAAAAGAAAATTCTGTGTATTGCTAGGGTTATAACTGCCTATAAGGGGGCCACTTATATCTTTTCATCATTTTGTCTTGAATCCTGTCTCCTCTCCTTCCAGGTCCCAAGTATGGGGCTCTTTTCTTTCCTGCTTTGTTTGAATTTTGAGGCCACTGAGCTGCCCTCCTGATATCTCATCTCCTTTTGAGGGGTGAGGGGCTGCTGAGACTTTGAGAATTCATACAAAATCATTACGGACAAAGAAATGCAGTGGAGACCAACATGTGGGAAACAGCTTCTTCTTTTTCTAGGGAAGTTCAAGGCCAGGCAGGAGGCTGGTGTCTAATTAGCAACAAGCTTGGAACCCCTTCCCTCTTACTCTGATAGCAGTGGTTTGAGTGTAAATTAGAGGAACTGTATCATCAGGGCTGAAAGGTACCCAAATTTAAAAAGCACAAGATATGTGAAATTTACCTGCTTTCTAAAAAGGTACAGAATTCAGCTAAATACTATTGCATTATTGATTGCTGATGTGGTCCCTATCCACTATCCTTCTCCAGACAGTGCGGGAAGCCACGTGGGGAGTCTGAGGCAGGAAGGGCAGGGTAGAAGCAGGGCCACCCAGGGCAAACCCAGCAGGCTCATGAGCACCAAGGGGATGCCTCTCCAAGCAACTGGGTGGTCCCCACAGCTTTGGGCAGGGTGTTCAGGGAAGAAAGAACTCCAGGAAGCCAGGCCGTACTGCTCCTTCTCTGGCTCCCTGGCTAGAGCTGCAACACGGTGATGAGAGCACTACTTACCTTTGCAGTGTCCATCATAATCGACCTGGATTTTGGATCCAGTGAGGCAGGCATCTCTATGCAGCTCACAGTGGTTGAGGTAGGTCTTGCCATTGCTGCCACACACAGGTCTCTTGTGAGGTTTGCATTGCTGAAACAGACCATGGAGGATGCTGGCATAGTCAAGGCTGAGTTTGTGTGTGCGCCACACACACACACAGCCATCTTGTGAAGAGTCCTCCCCAGCAGAGATGACTTCTACCCTGCCAGGGCACAGGGAGCCTCAGCTCTGGCATCAGTAACCCTACCCTACTCAGTGTTGGAGGAATTACATCACCTTGCAGTCCCTCATGGCGCTCTGTGCTGATCCTGGCCCTGGGTCATCTTTTTCAGTGAAAAAAAATACCCACTCCTTGACCCCAATCCTATCAAATCAGCAGGAAGTGCATTTTATCAGAAGTCAGGAATCTGGATTATCTATCACTTTATCACTTTGTAGAAAGTCATTCAATGTCTGTATCGAAAACCCCTTAAAATTCCAAAATTTTATGACACAAAACAGCCAGAGCTGGGAATTGGGAAACATTGAAAGAAATGTTTCCACAGCCCCTGACCCCCATTACCCCAATTCTTCAATTATTTCAGGGTCTAGCTATAAGAATCTTTGCTCTGTTGCTTTATTTAGTATTTTGTTTTTCTCCTAATCTCATGGTTGTTTTGAGGCAGGGGGAGGGGGTGCCAGGTCTTTGTGAAGTGTGACAGAGGATCATCCTGGACCAGGAAATGGACTAAAGTTCACTTGGCAGCTTGATTCTACTTTGGCTATTAAAGTGCCACAGTGACAGGCAAGCTTAGTTTCTTTACACTTCTGTGGTTTTTGAAAGGGGGAAGGGGGAAGCAAGTTCTGTTTAGACCTAATAAAGACATTAAAGCGAAAAAGAATAGATGTGGTAAAAAAACACAGGACCCTGGAACTGGAAGGCAGGTCAACCTTTCCAATTTATAGACTGGAAAACCAAAGCCTAGAAAGACAAACTTCACTTAACCAATATTTATCATTGGGTTATTAATATAACTCATTGGGCAGAGCAACTTGGGCCCTGAGCAAAGCCAAACATGGTCGGTCTTCATGGTATCCAGCAGCAATTAATTTGCTTAAAATCACACAATGGTATGTGGCCAAGTTGAGGTTAACCTCCAGGTTTCTGGACCCTAAATGGTCACAGAGTGGCCAGGTACACCACTAGTGAGGACCTCCCAGAATCCTTAACAGATATGGTATGCAAGTTTTTGAGCTGAGAGACTTCCTTTCTGGGACAATGGGTCGGGATCCTTCAACTGGTTACTAAGGTGGGTGAATTAACTTGCAGCAATATGGATGAATCCAGTCTTGGGTTCTTCTGACAGAAAGAGGGGAAAAGGGCACACATCCAAGCTGTTTATGTTCACCAAGTGAGAGAATTCTGCCTACAAAAGAAGTATTTCTCAAAAGCTCACTTTGTTTTTTAAATTTCATTAAAAATAAAACCAAACCTGAAAAATCTGCATTCTAGCTAGTATTTTAAAATGCACATATCCTTGACCTAGCAAGCCTAGGACTCAACCTAACAAGTGGGACTCAATCCTACAGAAATAAAGGCAACAGCATCTAAGAATATTTGGCCAAAGACATTACTGTTTACAATGGTAAACAACCTGAATGTTCATCTGTGGGAAAATGATTACACGAATCTGGTTCTTTTCTATCACTAAATATAACTGAGCTATTAAAAAATGAGAACTATATGCGCTGACCCATAGAGGGTTGTTGCTACATATTAAAGAGTACAAGATGCAAGCTGCATCTATCTAGATCTGTCTACATTATGATCTCAATTTTGCATAAAATAGGGGGAAACTCTATATATTTACAGTTGCAGAGAAACAAAAAAAAACTATGTGGAACAAATTACACAAACTGTTAACACTGATTACCTCAGACTAAGGGAATTTGAAGGTTATGGGGGGAGATGATTAACTTTATGTTTGCATAAATGTCTGTACCATTTATAAAAAGCAATTGTTAATTTTATAATTTGAAAATCTTATAAAGCTAAAGAATTTTTAAAAGGAAAAGAATCCCTACATTCACATCTGATTTTTAATCCCTGAGATAAAAAGTTCACTTCTTTCAGAGAGTTAAGGTGTGCTTTTATAAAGATGACAAAATCACTGGCTCTGCTCTGCAGATGGGCAGCTCCAGTGAGGTAACCACATGGCCTTGGCCACCGTCCTCTGGCTCTCGCCCGCAGTTCTTACCTCGATGCAGAGGCAGGTAGGCTCTCCTTTCTCTGTGACTGCACATTCCCGGCCAGCTCCACAAAACACATTGGCACAGATCTTGGATTTGCTCCTTACTTGCTCCTGAAACACAAAGCCATCAGGGAAACACTCCTCATGGGAGGAGCCTGTCTCTGGATGAGTCAACGGTGGTGATTATCTCTCAGGCTTCGGTGTGGTCCAGTCGAGGCTCCTGGTGCTGAAGGGTCCTGCACAGCCAGAAGTTCTCCCTGACAGATGGCATCAGTCTTGCTAGCACTGCTCCTCCCCAGGCCCAGCTGCCTATGAATCCCTAAGATTGTTTCTCAAAGAGCAAGTGCATCTTTCTAGCAAGCTTCCTTTCTTCTGAAAATGATTACTGAACACCCATTAAATGCTAGTACTAGGCTAAGGACTGGAGATATAAAGGCACAGTCCCTGTCCTCA